ATTTCGAAGTTGCCTGACGAAATGGTTTCGTCATTCGTCATGACGAAAGGGTTACGCCATTCGTCAGGCATCATTAATGCAAACTAGCTGATGGTGTTCGAGAAACTCCAATCGAAAGAACTCCTGTTGATTTCAAAAATCTTTATGTTGCAGCAGCTTGGGACGGTGAACCAGAGAGTCGTCCTGACATCAAATACATTTGCGAAAAGTTAGATCATATAGAATACGATTAACCATATTTAGGATTCAATCATTTATTGGTGCTAAATAATAATGTTTTGATTACCAGCTCGTGAGTGTAGCATTAAATTAAAATTTCGCAAAGAATTGATGAAATAATATTTTAAACAATTTATATCAATTTTCAGAGTATGAGTTTAAAAGTTTGGCCGCGTATATTCATTCATAATGATTTTATGCTAACCATACCTTAAACTATTACAATTAATTGTTAGCGAGTAAGTACAAATCAATTGCATGGGGTTTATATCATTTTCCGACATTTTTTCCCCTAAGTTCATTTCCCCGAAAAATTTTTCTGACAATCACTTCCCCGACAGCCATTTCCCCGATACAACCATTTGACTACGGATGAGCAGTGTAATAATTTATGTAATATCAAGTTTTAATGACAATAGGTAACAGTACAGTAAACTATTGCTTATTAAGACTGATTATTCTCTGATTCAAGTACAACTTGAAAGACATAATTCTGAAATTTAAATTCTGTCGATCAAAGTTGCATTTTCAAATGCCAATTATTATTATTATTATTATTTCTATTATTATTATTATTATTGTTATTATGATTACTAACTACGTAAAAAATTGGATGTAATTTCAAGTAATAATAAGTAGTACATATAAAAATTGCCCATCTCTACATTTCACCGACAACCATTTTCTCGATAACAATTTCCCCGATAACCATTTCCTCGAATAGAGATTGGACATGTTGAGAAAATCTCTACCCTGGTATTATTAAATTACTTGGGTTATCCAGGTAAGTTATTATATATTACAGGTAATCATATAGTAACAATTTCTACCCGGATCCAATCCCTATCCACGAAACCCACCTAATATCGCCACCAAAATCAGGTACATGAGTGCTCGATCTGAGCATTTGCATAAAGATAAATTCACGAGATTATCGCAAAGAAATAATCGAGCCTTTTTTTATTATTCAAATTATTCATTTAAGTATACGTAAAACTTCAAATTTTATGTTATAGAAAAAGGGTTTTCTCGTTCGAAATTTTAATGCATCTTGAATAGGTATGAAATTTGAACTTTGATAATTTATAAAAATATCAATGTATATTCATTTAAAAACAGGAACTAACAAATAAAAAACATTTATACATTATAAAGTGTCTTGTATTTTTAAGTTTTTTTAATTCGAATTCACTATCTTCAGTACTTGAATGTTCATCTTTATATATGTTGTAAGTAGGAACGGAATTTAAGTGAATTTGGAATTTATTAATAAAACTATAATTTTAAGGTAGTATTTATTTTATATAAATCTACATCCTAACCCTAAAATTCCAATCCACTTAAATTCCAATCCACTTAAATTCCATTCATGCTTACAACATATATCTTTTTTTACTTTTTTTAATGCTGTAATAATTTTTAACAGAGTTATTAACGAATAGTAAAAGTTACTGACTAAAGAATAAAGGAAAAAAGTGAAAAAAGTGAAAGTAAATGAAAGAAGTCTTGTAATTTTATAGTCTGCCCTAGTAATTGGGCTAGAAAATTTTTTATATTATAAATCCGTTATAATAAATATCCGCAATTCGTTGGAACCAGACTTTTATACAGGGGTACAAAAATATTTACACATCTAAGAACTTGGCTTATAACTCAAAATTTACTAACTAACTTATGTTCTTGACTTGACTATTTGAAACCTATCTCTCGATGATTATGTCATATCATTTTTAGATCATATACTTGCATAATTAGCAAGTTATTTAACTTTATGTTTAGGGTTTTGATAAATTTAGTAAGTGTTTATATTTCTGTACAAATATTTTACAACTATTAATCTAATTTTAATAATATTTTATTATTTTATAGATAAAGTTTTTGTCTATTTACTGTATAAATCTTATACAATTTTAATTAATAGTTAACTAAAAATTTAACAAAAATAAAAATTTTAGTTTAATCTTTAAATTAATTTTCTCAATGATTATTAGTCTAAAACAAATAATATTTTTATTTAATAGATACATATTTTTTTTATAAAATAAAATCATTAAAATTTAATCACTAGTTACAGAGATAATTCAAATAATCTATTCTAATATATAAAATTTTATTCATCATTGTATATCTTAATTATCTTGGCAACCAGTAATAGATTTTAACTTTTTTATTTTATAAAGGAAAAATAGTACTTTTAAATAAAAAAAGTGTCTAATTTTAATCACTAGAAGCTAAGATAATTAAGGTTAAAGTTTGGCATTTAATTTTTAATATTGCATTATAATTTTGTTAGCAATTGTTATAATTAATTATGATTAACTTTACTGAAACTTGTAAATTTGCAACTTTAGTATTACTTTGTAATTAGCTATAAAGTAACTATAAACCAATTATATAGTTACTTTGTAGTAATTACACTTTATATTTACTATAAGTTAGCAATATGCCTACTACTACTTACTACTATATTGCTATGATTTTACTACTATTTTACTATACTTTTACTACAATTTTAAAAAATAAATTTAATAAAATTGTAGTAAAAATA